AGCTTCATCTTGAAAACTGTCCCCGGGGACAGCAGTTGGCATAATGGCTATGTCACTGGACTCCCATGTAGTCGACCACAGTTTGCGTCCCAGACCCGGTGGCTTAAACTCACGTTGGGCGTGTGTGTGTGTGCATGACCAAGATCCCGAGAGGAGAATGGAGAAGGGACTGCAGTGTGGCCTTCCCCCCTGGGGGGGGGGGTGATTTCTCACTTTCCTGCAAGCACACACGCCCTATAGCAAAAATTTCTCCAAAAAAAGAAAGAAAGAAAGAAACTGCCCTTGGTGGGGCTAGCAGGTGGCATGGTAGTTAGGGCGCTGGACCCCCACGCCAACTGCAGTTTGGTTCTGGACGTGGCAGCTTGCTTTCTCACTTTCCCCGTCTCTGGTCAAATTAAAAAATAATAAGTAGTGCATGGTGGCACCAGCCCTATGGTTAAAAAAACAATAAGTAAAATGATTATTTTAAAAAATAACACTGTCCCTGAGTGCCCCGATGTGCACATCTGGCACCCTAAGCCGGGCTCTCACTAGCACCCTGCCCCGTTCCCTGACCCCACGTTACAGCTCATACTTCCTGCACTGCGTGTGCCTGCTCCATCTCTACATAAAGCCTTCCAGAGGGACGATGCAGGGAGGGAAACACCGAGACACCGTATGTAGGAAAACATCTTTACTCTCACACTTGATAAACTAGATAAAGAATCCTAGGTTGAAAATAATTTTCGTTCAGGATTTTGAAGACTGTGCTCTCCAGTTTTGATATGGAAAGACTAAACCCTTCATTCTTTTATTTTTTTTAAATTTGCTACAGGGCATCAGCTGGGGTGCGAGAAGCATCTCCCAGGAAGGATGGCCATGCCACAATCCTTTCTCCTCTCAAGATATTGGACACAAACACATATGTGACCAGTGTGTTCTTCAAGTCACCAGATCCGGGCCTTGAGCCACGCAGTCGGTCCTGTGGGATCCTTAATCACCACTTCACAGGCTGACTTAATCTCTGTACATGACCTTTATTCAGACTGGATGCTTTAAAGATCCCCCCCCCAGGGCACATGTGGGGCAGCACTCCCCTAGAGGAGGCATGGTCACACTGCAATTCCTTCTGCTCCATTCCCCTTCCCCACCAGGACGTTAGACATGCACACAGCCCACCATGCTTTCCAGGCTACAGACCGGGATGTGAACTGCGGCCAGTCACGTGAGCTCTGGCTCCCTTAACCAATGAGCTGGGGCCAGCCGCTCCTGAGCTCTTTCACCCACGGCACGGTCAGCCAGTGAGCCTCATCTATCTGCAAACGCATACCTTTCCGCACAGATTCTCATGGAAGACCCTCAGGATTATTTATTTTTCTTTTGTTATTTTCTACCTTTGATTGTTCCTTAAAAAACCTCCTGAAGAGAAGCAGTTGCTAATCCTCAGGACTGTGCTAACTGTGGATCCCTCTATTCTGTTCTTAGGGTACACACTCGTATGCAGCTGGGAGTGTCCAGCGCCTGAGTCAGCACGCCACCCGCTGGTCCCCGTTCCGTAAACATTTTAAGACAGGAGTCTTAATTTCACTCCACTCAAGAAGTAACCAGGGGGGACTAGCAGTTAGCGTAATGGCTATGTCGCTGGACTCCCATGTAGTTGATTGTGGTTCAAGTCCCAGATCCAGTGGCTTAAACTCACGCTGGGTGCGTGTGCGTGCATGCCCAGGATCCCAAGAGGAGAATGGAGATGGGATTTCAGCGTGGCCATTCCCCCAGGGTGATTTCTCGCATTCTGTCTCTCTTTCTGGCAAGCGCACACGCCCTATAGCAAAAGCCTCTCAAAAAAAAAAAAAAAAGTAAACAGGGCAAACAATCTGATATATAAAATGATATGTATGCATACAGAAATATACACATGCACTCCCCTTATTAAGAGATTTGTTTTAACAAGAAGCATCAAATGACTAAGCAAATATTATACTCAATAGCTTACTGTGTACAACTTAACACCCAAATATTTTCCCTCAGTTTACTGCTAGCTAATTGCCTTAGAAAATGGTGAGATCAGCAGATGGTTGGTCTCCCACATGGACTGGACGTCCACATGACCGACAGCAGTTCAAGTCCTGGAACTAGAGGCTTAAAGAACACGGGCCACACCGGGAATGTATGCGTGAGTGCCCAAAATCCCAAGAGGAGACTGGAGAAGGATTTCAGCATGGCCATGCCCCCTAGTGGTGATCTCTGTATGTCCCGCCAGTATAGGGGCCCTATAGCAAAAACCTCTTTAAGGAGGCCAGCATGTGGCACGGTGGTTAAAGGTGCTCAACTCCCACATGGCCAACAATGGGTCAAGTCCCGGACCTGGTGGCTTCCCCCTACCCCCCTCTCTGTTTCTTTCTGGTCAAATTAGAAAATAATAATAAAGTTACAATAAAATAATTATTTTTAAAAAACTCTTTTAGAAAAAGAAAAGAAACTGCTAATGATTACACAGTTACTGCAACAAAAGGAATGCTGCAGAATAAAGTATCTGAAAAGTAACATTTCACGGCTTAGGTTACCAATGGTAGAGAGGAATGGAGAAAGCAAGCCACCAGCTGGGACTCAACTGTCACTGGCCATGTAGGAGTCCAGAGCTTTAACTACCACACCATCTGCTAGCCCAAGTCATTCATTCATATATATATATATATATAGAGAGAGAGAGAGAGAGAGAGAGAGAGGTTTTTGCTATAGGGTGCGTGAGCTTGCCAGACAGAGAGAGACAGGAAGATAGAAAGCGAGAAATCACCCCCCATGGGGGATGGTCACGCCGCAATCCCTTCTCCTCCATTCTCCTCTCGGGATCTTAGGCACGCACGCACACACGCACACGCGCCCGGCGTGAGTTCTAAGCCACCGGGTCCAGGACACAAACCTCGGTCTACTACGTGGGAGTCCAGCGACATAGCCATTACACTAACTGCTGGTTCACAAGTCATATTTTAAAATATAAGTTTCTTGCTCTAATTTTTCACATTGAAATCAACTTCTAGTTTTGTATTTCTCTAAAACTTATTAATATATGGCAGTGACTAAAGTAGGCAAAATTATCTGGAATATGAAATTTGTCAAAAAAGAAAATAACGTCAATAAAGAAACTCTTTAATGTACTTACAATAAGCAACTGGAGAAAAAAAATGAAGGGAGCAAAAACCCGAGTCTAAATTGAATTCATAAATTCTTTTTCCAAAAAAATTTTGGAAAAATAAGCTTTTCAAATTAAGCTTTCTTTTTTCCTATTCCCTAAGTTTTACTTTTACAGAAATTAAACTTTAATTATAAATTTTTAAATGCACAATCAAAAATCTTGAATTAACATTAAAAGGGTAAATTAATAAAATAACAACTTGAAAAAAGAAATAATTACTTGGTTTCACTATTAGTTTATCAAGTAGCTAGCCCTAGTTTTTTGTTTGTTTTGTTTTGTAGAGGGTTCTTTGCTACAGGGAGTGTACACTCACCAGAAAGACAGAGAGACAGGAAGCAAGAAATCATCCCCCAGGAGAGATGGTCCCCCTGCAATCCCTTCTCCTCCATTCTCCTCTCGGGATCCTGGGTATGCTCACACATGCGCCCAGGGTTGAGTTTAAGCCACCGGGGTCCGGGACTCGAACCGTGGTCAACTCTGTGGGAGTGCAGCAACATAGCCATTACGCCAACTGCTGGTCCCACTAGCCCTACTTTTTAAACATGTCACATTCTTATTTATATAGCCAAACACTGTAATTGCAAGGAAAAAAAACAACTTAAAAAAATAAAAGCAAAGCTATCCCCAAATGTTTATATAATTGAATAGCCTAAATAACCCTCGCTGGTAAACCAAGTGTTAGCAGAAGTTTAACAATACGATGTAAGTCATCTGCCAATAAACAGGCCCCCTGCATAAACCCTAAGGCTGATGTCACTTTTTAAATGATGTAATCCTGGGAAATATAGAGACATACCCCAGGACTCAGAAGGGAGACGAGTTTATCAAAGGGCTAGCAGTATTATGTGTAAGATCATGTGATCTTTTTCTAAGTTAACTCTCATTCCTACTAACCCTTACATAATTATTGTTCACCTTTGAGTACTCATCTTTAAACTTCTCTAATATGAAATGCACATCCTTTAAAAAGTTCTTGGAAACTTAAAGAAAATAAAACAATCCCATAATCCCACTTTTGGTTCATGTCCCCTAGTCATTTACTCCCAGAGACACACAACTATGTTTTTTTCTTTTTACTAAATGTAGAATTAAGAAAATGAGTTCCTTGGGACCAGCAGTTAGCATGTTGGCTATGTTGCTGGAGTCCCATGTAGTCAACCGCAGTTCGAGTCCCGGACCAGTGGCTTAAACTCAGGCCAGGCGCATGTGCGTCCGTGCCCAAGATCCCGAGAGGAGAATGGAGGAGAGATTGCAGCGTGGGTGATTTCTCGCTTTCTATCTCTCTGTCTCTCTGTCTTTCCGGGGAGCCCACGCACCCTATAGCAAAAATCTCTCAAAGATAAAGAAAAGAAAGTTCCTTTAAAGTTGCTCATCTAAACCTATCAAATTCTAAAAATGTATTTCCACCAAAACCGAAGAAGTTCAGCGGCATTAATTCCTGCCAGCTGCAAAACTGGTCAGTTTACTTCTGCACACGGACTTCCTTCCTGAGGTCTGACCCCCACTCAGGAAACAGCGCAGCCCTGTACAGGCGGAGGTATAGGCTTCCAGCCTTGATTTTCTGAATCACCGTGAATGTAATTTGTGTAAATTACAGTCTTGGAACCTGTATGGCTCAGAAAAAAAAAAAAAAAAAACAGAAATAACGGCACCTACGAAATAGGGTAGTTTCGAGGGGACATGATACATGTGACGATGCCTGGCAAGCGCCAGGAACTCCACGATGATTCGTTCTTTATTTCCATTAAAAACGAAGAGCATGAATGCGACACAACTAAGAGCGTGACCTCTAAAGATAAACACAGTAAGTGAAAAGGTGCTATCTTACCAGAGCCTTTACGCGTAAATCATTTCACGGCCCACACACAACCGGCGACAGTTCGGGCGTCAGCGCACCAAAACCTTCCCACGTGAACACACATGCTTCGAGCCGTCTCCCACGCCTTCACCCCTAAGCCCCGCGCCGCAGGCCCAGGCCCCCGGTCCAAGGGGGCGGGAAGGACGGACTCGGCGGCTCTGGACTTGCTGCGGGAGAGGAGCGCGGGGATGCAGAGCAGTGGGAGGTTCCCGGCGGGCTTCTGCAGGGGGCCACGGACGCCGACGGCGGAAGGCAACCCGGGACCCAGGCCCTCGCACCCGGGGCGCGGCGGACGGGGCCGGGGACGCCCAGGGCAGGGAAGCAATGGCGGGGGCGCGGCCGAAACGCTGCAGACCCAGCCCCCGGAGCGGCGGCGCCGGGAAGGCGGAGCCGTCGGGGAACCGAGGAGGAAACCGCGGGCTCGGCGGGGGGGAGGGAGGGCCGGAGGGCCGGGCTGCGGCGGGTGGTGGCAGCGGGGCGCCGCGTGTGGGCGGGAAGGACACCCGAGTCCGCGAGCGCACGAGCGGGGCGGCGCCGGGTACCTGCAGAGATCGTCCAGGACGCCCCCGGGAATCTCCGCCCGCTTGGTCTCCATGATGAGGACGCAGAGCAGGAGCAGGGCATCCCGGCTCCGCGCGGCCGGGAACCGAGGCACGGCACGGACGCTGCGGCTCTCGGGCAGCGGAGGGAGCGGACGACTCCG